GGGGGGGGACTGACTCTTGCAGGACAGGGAGAAGGAGAGGTGCAAGCTTGGTGGCATCCGCAGGAGGCTGGAGGGAAGTGATCTGTGGTGGCAGTATCTCCTCAGGCATTGCCTTCTGCTCGGGCTCCAGGATCCCTGTGATCTCCAGGATCCACTCCAGAAAGGGCTGGGTAGAGATGTATCGGCCCCGCTTGTAGGGCTGGGCACAGGCTTGTCCCCAGCTGGTGATGCCAATCACATAATACCGGGCTGTGACCGCATCTTTGCACATTAAGGGTCCCCCACTGTCCCCCTGCAGAAAAAGGGAAGAAGGGTTACTGATGGCCTGTGACAGTCTCCTGCTTCTTAGCATCAGCCCCAGTCCCTAGCAGCCCTGATGCCTACAGAGCTCGGCTGGGAAGCATGGAGTAGGGCAGGTCCTGTGTGCCTGGCAGCTGTCAGCGTCTGGAGATGCCTGAGGAGGCAGGGGCTAGGGCTAGTCCCGGGAAGGAGGCCGGGCAGTGAGAGGGCTCTGGCCTGCGTACCTGGCAGCTGTCGGCGTCTGGGGATGCCTGAAGAGGCAGGGGCTAGGGCTAGTCCCGGGAAGGAGGCCGGGCAGTGAGAGGGCTCTGGCCTGCGTACCTGGCAGCTGTCGGCGTCTGGGGATGCCTGAAGAGGCAGGGGCTAGGGCTAGTCCCGGGAAGGAGGCCGGGCAGTGAGAGGGCTCTGGCCTGCGTACCTGGCAGCTGTCGGCGTCTGGGGATGCCTGAAGAGGCAGGGGCTAGGGCTAGTCCCGGGAAGGAGGCCGGGCAGTGAGAGGGCTCTGGCCTGCGTACCTGGCAGCTGTCGGCGTCTGGGGATGCCTGAAGAGGCAGGGGCTAGGGCTAGTCCCGGGAAGGAGGCCGGGCAGTGAGAGGGCTCTGGCCTGCGTACCTGGCAGCTGTCGGCGTCTGGGGATGCCTGAAGAGGCAGGGGCTAGGGCTAGTCCCGGGAAGGAGGCCGGGCAGTGAGAGGGCTCTGGCCTGCGTACCTGGCAGCTGTCGGCGTCTGGGGATGCCTGAAGAGGCAGGGGCTAGGGCTAGTCCCGGGAAGGAGGCCGGGCAGTGAGAGGGCTCTGGCCTGCGTACCTGGCAGCTGTCGGCGTCTGGGGATGCCTGAAGAGGCAGGGGCTAGGGCTAGTCCCGGGAAGGAGGCCGGGCAGTGAGAGGGCTCTGGCCTGCGTACCTGGCAGCTGTCGGCGTCTGGGGATGCCTGAAGAGGCAGGGGCTAGGGCTAGTCCCGGGAAGGAGGCCGGGCAGTGAGAGGGCTCTGGCCTGCGTACCTGGCAGCTGTCGGCGTCTGGGGATGCCTGAAGAGGCAGGGGCTAGGGCTAGTCCCGGGAAGGAGGCCGGGCAGTGAGAGGGCTCTGGCCTGCGTACCTGGCAGCTGTCGGCGTCTGGGGATGCCTGAAGAGGCAGGGGCTAGGGCTAGTCCCGGGAAGGAGGCCGGGCAGTGAGAGGGCTCTGGCCTGCGTACCTGGCAGCTGTCGGCGTCTGGGGATGCCTGAAGAGGCAGGGGCTAGGGCTAGTCCCGGGAAGGAGGCCGGGCAGTGAGAGGGCTCTGGCCTGCGTACCTGGCAGCTGTCGGTGCCTCCTTGCTCATACCCTGCACACAGGTTGTTGCTGGCGATGGCCCCATTGTACCAGCTGCTGCTGTTGCAGGTGGTGGTGTCAATGAGCTGCACCTTGGCCTCCTGCAGGATGTCAGCTGTGTCTTCGTCTGCGAGGAAGGAGAGGGTTTCAGCTCTGTGCCCATTCATCCAGCCCAGACCCTGCCTTCCCTTCTGTGTCCCACTCCCCCCATGGCACGGTGCCTCAAGGCCCTGGCACAGGCCAGTTTGTGTCTCCTGGAGCTCTCGCTGTGCCCAGCATCTGGGCTTCTCTTGCTCCAGCAGTCGAGCTATGTCTAGACTACGGGGTTTTATTGGCAAATGGCGCTCTGCAATTTGCGTACCTTTTTCCAAAAGTTTTGTCTGAAGAGGCTTTTCCGAAATTTGGCCAAATTTTGGAAAACCCTCCCCTTTCAGAAAAGCCCTTCTTCCTCGTGGGAGGAGGAAGACAGGACGCAGAAAGAGCACATCTGCTCTTCTGGAATAAAACCGGAAGAGCAGACGCGTTCCCTGGACACAGCGGAGTTTTTCTGGGATACCTCCCGGAAAACCCCTGCAGTCTAGACATAGCAATGGCCAGTGTCCTGTTCCCCATCCATTGCCATGAGTAGTGCTGGAGCATCTCACAGCCAAGGACCCCATGAGCCTAGCCGAGGGGCTACCAGCCTCAGGCAGGGCCACTGGGGTGCGCAGTGCTCATGCCTCCTCTTTCTCCCAGCCGCGGCTGGTTCAGGAGTGAAGACATGAGTCTCGCGCTGGAGGATGCTTGAGAGCGATGCTCAGTCGCCTGCCTCACTAATGGGCCACAGGGCCGTGGTCCAGCAGCCTGAAAGCCAGGCTCCTTCAGAGGCGTCTTCTGTGCGGTTGCCTATGTCATCGCTCCCCGGGCACACAGGAGTCAGAGGCAGGCATGCGCTCGGGGTGTCTGGCCCCAGTGCTGTGGAGGACCTGGGCCGTGAAGTGAGCTGGGCCCTTCTACGCATCCTGCAGTGAGCACGGCTTGGTAGAGATGTGCGCTGGTGCCTGCTGCATGCTGGACTCAGGCTGAGCACACGTACTTACTGCAATAGCCCAGCCTGGCTGTCAGCCTGCATCGCCGCAGCCTGTTTCTGACCGTGCATGTTCGTGGTCACACCTGTCCTTGTGTCCAGCCTCAATAAGGAGGCCGGGGAAGCTGGTTGATAGGAGTCTTTGAGAGTCGGTCCCTTTCGCGGAGGGCTAAGTGACCATGGCTCCAAGGCCTCGCCCAGCCCGCCTGCCGGTGTGCTCTGATCTGGACAGGCTGGTTCCAGAGCTTTATGGGGCAGCAGAAGAGTCACCCCCCACCACTGCCAGTGTCCTCATGGGAGCACTGGTGCTATCTAGAGCTTCCCATCACCCACTGCTAGGTCTCGAGGCAGGCCTATGGGCCATGGGCCCAGCCTTCAAAGCCACTGGCAGACTGAGCAAGCGGTGCTGAGGAGAGGGCAACCAGGCACCACCTGAGCCATCTCCACTGCAGGCAGGGCCATGGAGATTTCTGCAGGGGCAGTGTCTAGGTGCCAAGTGCTGAACAAGGACAGAGCCAGGCGCTGCCCCAGAAGCTCACCCTATACGGTCAAAAGACCACAGGTGGCTGCTGGAGAGACAATGCCTGTCAGCAGGACGAGCCCTAGCTGCCATGGAGGGTTTGCAGGAGAGAGGGAGGGCATCAGAGCTGATGGGGAAAGAGAGACGGTAACAACTGTGTTTCACACTAAGCAGTGCACCCTGCACTCCTGGCCCCCAACAACCTAGTCTCTGCTGACAGCCGCTCGGAATCCCGGCACCCCTCTCAGGCAAACAGCCCAGCCCTCCCGGGCTCTCTTTACAGAGACGTGTCTCCGCTGGTTCTTGGCCCCGCCCTCCCAACCTAGCGACCGGCATGGCCCAGAGTGGCCTGGCAGACCCGTTTCTGTCCCATGCCATGTTATTTGCTGGCCCATTCCGTATGCTCCCTAACTGCCCAGTTATGTCACATTGAGCAGACGTTTCACGGGGCTGGCTATAGTGACAGTGAGACCCTTGTGCTCTGTGGCTGCAGTTAGGCTACGTCTGCACTACTGCACTGCTGGTCAGAAGGAGACCTTTCCAGGGTGCACCCAGGGGCAACACGCCAGTCAGTGCACTGAATCACCCGCCTTACCTTCTCCGGCCGACTGGCCCGTTTCTACCCTGCATGGGCCCATATTACATCAGATCAATGGGGACTCCGCATGGTAGAAAGGGGATATTCCCTGTCACCTCCTTCATACTCAGAACAGCTAGGTCGGTTTGTGAGCATTCTTGATTCTCTGCGCCCCTCCTTCCCAGACATGCACAGGCCCAGCTGCTGGTGCCACTGCCCTGGTTCCTGTGGATGTTAACGAGGCTTTCGCTCCACATTTATTCCCTTACTTTGCTCGTTGCAGTAGTATGTCTATTGGATTGTAAGCTCGTTGGGGCAGGGACTAGCTGAGGCCTGTTGTCCCTAACACAATACACACAACAGCATCAGAAGATGCACTTGTAATGGGCAAATTGTTCATTGCTCTCTCTGTGAAGAGCAGCCCCTTGCTAGCTTTTCTCCGGGCTCTAGCATGTCCCAGTTCTCCGGGTATTTTGAGAAGTACTGGCAGTTGTCACAGGTTTAATCAGTCTGCTGGCTAATTCTCTTCCTTCCCACGAAGGCCACTGAGGCTACGTCTAGACCGGAAGCCTCTTTCGAAAGAGCGTCTAGACTACAAGCAGATTTTTCGAAAGAGAGTCTGGACGCTCTCTTTCAAAACTACAGTTTGCAGTCAATAGCGCCTCTTTTTGAACGAGCACTTTTGAACAAGGGCGTTATTCCTCATGGAGTGAGGTTTACCACGACCGAGAAAACTGCCACATTCTTTCAATTTACTTTCAAAAGAACTTGGCTGCAGTCTAGACGCAGGGGAAGCTTTTTCGAAATAACCCTGTAGTCTAGACACACCCTGAGTGGTCCAGACAGACCTGCAGTCTGACATGGGAATGTTTCCAAACGTCATTCTCTGGGAGGACTCCCACCTCCATGTTGACACAACAGCCCCACATGTCTTCTCCAAACCCGCTGCCTCTAGTTTCCCCACAGCCATTCCCCATTCTGCACATTCCCTGCATGGGCTTCTTGCTCCCAGACGTGCTGTTTGACATGGCCCCCCCACAGACCAGCACGGTCCTCCCCAGCCAGCTGCTCTCTGAGCAGTGTGACATCCCTTACACACAAAGGCTACGTCTAGACTGGCAGGATTTTCCGCAAATGCTTTTAACGGAAAAGTTTTTCCGTTAAAAGCATTTGCGGAAAAGAGCGTCTAGATTGGCAGGACGCTTTTTCGCAAAAGCACTTTTTGCAGAAAAGCGTCCATGCCAATCTAGACGCGGTTTTGCGCAAGAAAGCCCCAATCGCCATTTTCGCCATCGGGGATTTTTTGTGCAAAACAGTTTTTAGCGTCTACACTGGCCCTCTTGCGCAAAAACATTTCCGGAAAAGGGCTTTTGCCCGAACAGGAATGTCAAAGCATTTGCGCAAGAAGCACTGATTTCGGACAGTAGAACGTCAGTGCTTTTGTGCAAAATCAAGCGGCCAGTGTAGACAGCTGGCAAATTTTTGTGCAAAAGCAGCTGCTTTTGCAGAAAAACTTGCCAGTCTAGACGCAGCCAAAGTGGTGGAAAGGGGATTTTCTGCTTCTGGCCACCCCTCCCCAGTCCAGCCCAGTTCCTTTCACATGGCTTTTTGTGCAGCCTCGTAGGAGGCTGACAGCATGTATTGGCCCCACCTTGGCAGAAGACTGTACCAAGAGCAAAATGCCCAGTGCAGACTCCTGACCACCTGGCAGCATGTCCAGTTCCTGGCGTGTTAGGGGCTCAGCAGGATACAGTACTGCTGCGATGGCTCTGCACAGGAACATAGCCAATGCAGAGTGGAAGCATGCCTGGTGTCACCGCTGTGCACATGCACGCTGATGGATAAAATAGCCACGCACAATAACAACCTCCCAGCCAAAGTGGCTGCAGCTGCATGCCCCGGCCCAACACAGTGTGTCAGGACTTGCAATCACACCACTGGGGTAGCAGACCGGGTGCTGTAACAGCTCAGGTGCTGTGTCAGGCAGAGCCTGCCTCTCTGCCCATAGGAGAGGAGTAACGTGCATTGTGTGTGTGTCCCCATGTGAGTAGCTGCATGTGCATATCCCCAGGTGTGTGTCTGATTTAGTGCAGCCCAGCCTCAGGGCTGAGTCCATCTTTCCCGGAGACCCCGTCCTCCAGGGTGAAAAAGACAGCACCCGCGCACACAGTCACTCACTGTTGTGGGTGGTGGTGCCCCAACCGCTGATGTAGCATGGGGAGAAGGTGGTGACAGCCATTCGGGTGCTGGGCAAGCAGGCTGGCTGTGTGAGGTCATCAAAGGCCACAGGGCGGTCAAGCTGGATGAGAGCGATGTCATTTGTCTTCGTGTGTGGATTGTACTCCTGGTGCAAGACAGCCCTGTGCACTGAGCGGATCTGCACTAAGTCGGAGAAGTGGGAGAGCTCTGAGATGCCAGTCACAATCCTCCATTGATCTAGGAACCTAGAAATGCATCACAGCTGGGTTAGTGCACAGCCGTGGGCCCTGCAGGCCCATCACACTTGCCTTATGTCACACTCGCACTCGCACAGCTGGGTTAGTGCACAGACCTGGGCCCTACAGACCCATCACACTCACCTCATGGCACACTCGACTCGCACAGCTGGGTTAATGCACAGACCTGGGCCCTACAGACCCATCACACTCACCTCATGGCACACTCACACAGCTGGAAAAGCGGTGAAGAGTCCTGTGGCACC